AATTTATGTGTAACACAGTCTTGTATGGTAATAAAACAAATAGGTCAGGGTGGGAAAGTACTTCTAAAGCGTTCAGCAGAAATTAATTTTTGATATTCAAGTTTTCTTTAGTATTTTTTCATTCAAATTTCTGGAGTGAAATGTAAAATATGCATCAAACTTGGATCTTTAAAAATGAACCTACTCCCAGAAAATTTTGTCTGTGGAATCAAATGCCTGGTATTTGAACCTCCAAAGAAAAGAAAAGCAAGGATTTCACACATAACTAGTTGCATCAAAGGAGAGTTAAATGTTTTCATAATAGTGACACAAAGGATACCATTTTCCTGTTTCAAAAACAGCGTAAAGTTATTCAGATAACAGGAAATTCAAAATTGCAGCTTAAAAATGTAGAATATAACTGAGGATTGAAGATATGGAAAATTCTAGCTGAGGAAGGTCAAGGTTTTGTGAGACATAAATTCCCCTGAATTTCACCATTCAGTACTGCAAGCATTATACTTTCTGCAGGATCAGTGATGCACATAAAATAAAAAAGGTTACTAATTATCAGCAGTAATAATTACACATTTAACAAGTTACCATTATACTTCAAAAAGTTCACACTAATGTGTGGATAATTATTGGCCTAATTAAGTATCCGTTTCGCATTTACAAACAAAAATGAAACATTAGCTAAGAGTGTGACAGTGTTTTTTGCATTAGATAAAAGGAAAAGGTAATTTGGATAACTAATTCCTGGACTGAATTTGTTGCATGGAGCTTACAAAAAAAAAGGAGGTAATTTTTATCCTTCCAAACATTTAGAAGTATATTTTCCTCACATAACTGTCCCTTTCCAGTGCAGTATTCAACTGCACATCCTTTTTTTTCCAAAAGAATCAAGAAGAAACATTAGGAACTCCAGAAGTCCTGAGGGGTTTCAGGGTAGGTGTCTTTTGGGAGATGGAAGGGGTCTTGTGCAATGCCCCTACATGGAGAATACATCAGTTTTACTGGCAGAGTTCAGAGTGCCTTGTGGTGCTTCAGGCTGCAGGAGCTGACAAAACCATACAGTAGACATGAATCTGCTTCTCAGTGATACACAAGTGATACACAAGTGTAAACATTTAGCAAAAATCAGCTTAGGATGCAGCACACCACAAAGAATGGCTGTTGTTACAGTGGCTTTCACATGGCTGCTGTTTCTGTATTAATTTTCTTCCTACCATTTCACGGGAAAAATAAAGCCAGGTGCTGTGATGACAGTAATTTATCCATGTTTCCATTCATGGTCATTTGGGCCTCAGCAATGACAGACGGGAAATTGTGGGAAGGAAGATAAAGCCTCCCTACTCATCTGCAAATGCTTTGATTTCAGTTTTCCATTTTTATTAATATTTGAGTGAATTTCCTTGGTCAAGATTACTACATTGTATCAAGCACAACACTAAGTCATCCTTGCTTGAACATCCCCCAATTACTGGCCAGTGGCAGAAAATTACACCAGCCCAAAGGATAGACTATTTCTGCGACATTTTCCCATTCTTCCTTTCCAATTCATGACAGAATCCACTCCACACAAGACAGGTTGCATAGCTGGTTCTCCCATAGAGCCTATGGAAAATACACCATCATCTTGCTTTGCAGGAATGCCTGAAACTTCAGGAGAACTTATTTGAACAGAAATGCAAAGTAGTGTGTAAACACAGTCCTGAGGCTGCCAGGCCATAGCTAACTTGCATAGCTTTGAACCAGCCTGCATCTCATAACTTCTCTGTGTGCAGGACCTTGAGACAAACAACAGGATTTGCAACATTCCAACGTGAAACTACTTTAAGTGTGCCACTGCTGTTTAACTCCTTGTACTCTGGTCCAAAAAAACCCTTTATCTACACCATAGTCCTGAACCCCTGAATTTGCTGTTGTTTTGTTGCTTCAGTATGTGCATGTGCAAAAGTCTGCTTTAAAGCCTCTTTGAAAAGTAGACTGGAAGTTTTCTATTGTTTTCAATAAGAGTTTGTGGGACCGATAATGAGAACACATGCAGGCTTGGGTACATGTATTGCACAAATCCCTGAATGCACATATCCCTCTTGAAACCTTGGATCAACATCCAGTAAAAATTGTTTCTCACCTGCTTCTCAAATGAAGGGGCACTGGAAATACTGAGGGCCATACTCTTCAGTGCACTGAAGGCAACTCTACTATGTGCTGGATAAGTGAAAAAACATTAACAGCTGAAATTGAACCTTTCCATACATGTATATGCAGGTTCTATCCATTAAAACAAGCAAACAAACAAACAAATAAACAGAACAAAACAAAAGAAAACAGCCTAACTTGTTCTTCCTACATCTCCTTCCATCTCCTGATCATTCAGTACCTGCCATGGACCCCAAAGATGATCCTGAAATTTCTCCCCTAAACCCACATGAGGGGCTGGTCGGTGGTAGCAGTTAGGGGTACCTGGAGACAGTCTCCAGAAATGAAGAGAACCTGAAGAGAAACAAGACTGTCTATAATATAGGACCAAGAAATTGGGGGGAAATGACAGCTATTTCTCTTGATAGATGGTGCTTCAAAAATATTTTCCAATCCCTGTGAGAAGTCTAAGGTCAGGTAGGGCATAGACTGCATCCCCTGTATTTTTTTGCACCTCAATACTGCCCTGCCCTTATTTAGGAATATATTAGAGAGCAGTGGAATGAATAAATGAATGATCCCATTTTGGCAAATGCTCTAAATACATCCCTTGGGGTAACAGTGGGCTTTGCATCAGCCCATATTTGTTTGCATTCCAGTGGGTTTGGATACACCTTTTCTATTCATATCAGTGCAACTTGACCAGAGCTTTCAAGATAAGCATAAGCTTAAATACTTTGGGACAGGCCTTATTAAAAACACAGTTTAAGTGTGAATTTTTAAATGCTTTTCTCAACAATGAAATAAGCAATGTTGTAGGCATGTTACCCAATCCACTATATTTTCTTGTGCCTACATTTTAATCATGTAGTCTTCTACCTTTTGAACTCATGATGTCACATTTCTGGAGTTTTAAGCTGGGCTAGAAGTAATGATAGAAATGTGTTAATTGCAGTTATACTTCCTATGGCATCAAAAATATAACGTCAGAATTTTATTTTTTTTTCAAATAAAGGTTTCAGATCAGTATGCCTTAAAATATCCATCTGTAGCAGCCACTCCTGGTTGAGAAACTTTTCACTTGTCTTTCAAAGTTAAATAGATTACTGGAAGAAGCATCCTCTGAATTGCAAAATGAGTCAGCAATACCTTCAGTATTTTTAGGGCCTATTTTACAGAGGTTACTTTTGCTTAAGCCATTAAATATTATTAACTACTAAATTTATTCTCTTCATTTCATGTTGTATACAGCTGATGGGAAATGTAGGGAAAAGGCAGTCTTCAAGGCATTAACCCCTTCACTCCACAGGATGTTTTTCTGCTTGAAAGGAATTTGATGATTTCAGCTTCTTCTCCTTCTTGACTTTGCCTCCATTAGGATTGCCTGAGTGAATAAGGGGTTGCAGAAACTGGCCCTTATATTGTAATGTAATCACAGATTTATTCAGCTCTGCAATCAGCCACTCGTCTGTGATGATCATCTCAGGGTCCTGCCAAGAGTTTCTGGAAGGCTCTGTGCTAGTTCTCTACTGATCACATAAACCACCAAAAATTTACCTACATATTATTTTCCACTAATTCATATCTGTGTTCTGAGGGAAAGGAGAAAGAATCATAAGGAATATAAAAAATGCTGCTTCTGAACATTAATAAAATATCCATGCCCAACAAAAACAAATACACTGAAAAACTGCAGATACAAATAAAATCTTCTTTTAAGTTAAAAAAAAAAAAAACAAGAAAAAACTAAAATGATGGGGTGAAAAAGGCTGAAAAAGCAAGATTTAAAGAAAGGAAATGGTATGTGGTTTGAAATGTGCATTTGGAGAGAAAAAAGATATCCAAAGATCAGCATCTCTGAGAACAGCCCATTTACCAATGTCTAAATAGCTAATAACTGAATGTAAAAGTGTCTCCTCAATCTAATAAAAATGCACTATTCTATTATTTACTACAGTATAAACTTTAAAACATTAACATGGAGAAGGTAAACAGAAAACTGAATGTTTACTATGTCAAAGACTAACGTTGCTTTCCAAAGTTTGAGTCAAATATTGCTACTAATAATACTGACAGGAATATTTCCCCTGGCGTGAATGAAATTACTCTGAGTCAGAGTATACAGAAGAGCCGAGTTTGGCCATTTGTCTCTTTACTTTGTGATATCCATTTCCACTGACTCCCCTGTGCTTTGAACACCTGGAAAAAGCCATGGACTCTGGCATTAGCTAATGGCAGGACCCTCAGTTTTTGTATGAGATGCCACAATTTTTTTTTTCATTTCTGGTGTGTCTACCCCCCTGGAAGTGTCACTGTTATTTTCTTGTTCAATGGCTTGTATCTGGCACTTTCAACAAATATTGTCCTCGCTCTCTACACTTTAAAATGATAAATGCATCACCTGGAGGCTGTATCCACCAGTTCCTGTATAATACTTCTCTCTTAAAATGTGACATAGCATTTTAGAAGTGGAAAATTAACATTCCAGAAGGAATTCTCAAGAGGGAAGGACATGTGCAAGTGCAACCATGCAGTGAACTAATCTTTAACCAGAAAATGCCAATGTACTCTTGAAAATACAGATAAACACTACAATGAGGCACCAGTTAAGCAACTAAATATAAATCACACAAAGCCAGCAGTGGCAGACACTCCTTGTGTCTGCTCAATTGCTAATAGTTTTTTCTCCAAACTAGAGTGGTTTTCCCTGGTGCTAGTGAGAACTTTTGCTAGCACACCTTCCATACACTTGAAATTTAGCATCAGGGGAATTATCAAAAGCTGCACTCGGGGTGCTAAGTGTGTCTGAGGTACCCCCTGAGGCAGCAGTGCCCAGTGATGCAGACTGGCCCACGTCCCTGTGCCGATGGCCCAGCTCTCAGAGCGGGCTGTGCACACACCGTGCTTCGGAGCACTCAGCCTGCAACTCTTCAGAAAGAACATCTACCACAGCACTGGTCTCCAGATCTCAAATGAAGGACAGGCATACCCTGAGAGCACCCCACCCTCCCCAGCCTTGACTTTGACATGAGAGGATCCTTTGCAGTGCTGGTTTTCCATCAGCTCAGGTATCCAGAAGAAATGTTTTACCATGAGGATGGTGGGGCACTGGCACGGCCTGCCTGGAGAAGCTGTGGCTGCCCCATCCCTGGAAGTGTCCAAGGTCAGGTTGGACAGGGCTTGGAGCAGCCTGGTCTAGTGGGAGGTGTCCCTGCCCATGTGTCCTGATTTAGGGCAAATTTGTGAGAGAACCTTCAAATGGAGTCCCTCCAGAAAGCAAATTCAAGCAGCTCCTCCCCCAACTGGTTCGGGAAAAGATTTCCTTGGAGAAAAGTGGAAAAAAACTGTTTATTTAATAGAAATTTAATAATATTAAACAATAAAACCTCTTGCTGTTCGATGAGATGGCAAATCCAGTAAAAGTGCATTTCATGAGGTGTAGGACAGTTCACTCGGTCTCTTATCAGTCCCTCTGGCGCGAGAAAGTGCCGAGGCCCAGGCCCCGGTGGGCCACAGGCCTGAGCTCCCGGGGTTTGTCTGGGTGTTCTGTCCAGAGCAGGTTTGCACAGACCCATGGAAAAAGGGAAAAAAACAGTCCAGGGAACTTGTCTGCTTCAGCTAGCTAAAAACTAACTAACAGCAAAGGTGAGTCCTGTCCTGCTGTCTGTCCATGCTGCAGACACCACAGTCCAGGAGCAGGATGGGGTACAGTGAGGGCTCTTTCTGAACACAAACTGCGGCTTATTCTTCTCCCCACTTCACTCTCAGAGCCAGTCTTAGAGGTGCTGAACTTAATATGTAACATAAACAAGGTGACTGGGGATACCAGTATCATAAACTCACCCCAGGACACCATGGCAGGGGATTGAAACCAGATTATCCCTTCCAACCCAAAGAATTCCATGACTGTAAGTTTTGACCCTGAAAGGTAGGATGTAGTGCAGTGCCAGACATTGTCCTGCAAAACACTCCCTGGGTAATCAGGATGCACCTCCCCAGAACTGCCCTGGCTGCAGCACAGGTGATGAGGTGTGGCTGCAACACTGAGAAGTGATGTTCCTACATCAGTGCAATGTGTTCTCTTCCACACCAGAACATAATTTGGTTCTTTCCTGAGAAGAAAACTTGTTGCAGCTGAGTAGTGACTTGCTACTCAACGTGTGATAGTAACTTCACTGGAGGAAAAATGTCTTGTTAATGTGAACTAGAAACAGGACAATATAATTTTCTTAGATTGAGCTATGATTTTCTGCCTGTCTTAGGAGCAATTTTGGGACCAAAGAATCTACACTGGAACTCATCCTGGAACTCCAGAAATTCCCTGCATAACAGGTTGAGCCTTCCATGTCTAGAAAAGGCCACAAAAAATCCCTTAAAAGAATTTTATAATTGCACTGACTTCTTACAGAGCTAACTGTGCCAGCTGGAAGCTGAATTTCACACCAGTGGTCAGCAGTGTACCTCCTGAAGTGAGATCTGTTTTACAGCCAGGGGCACAATATGACCTATCATTATTAAAGGCCAGAAGAGGATTCAGCTCCTCTTTGCGAGCAGTATCACTGACTATTCTTGTGAATTACTGCTTCTCAGAAAGGGAGGTGGAATGCTTACAATCTTTTTTAACATCCAAAGTAAATAGCAAGCTCTTATATCCAACAGAAGTTACAACAATATTTTCATTATGAATAATTTAACCTAGTTTTCCTCAAAATAGGGGATATTAATAATTCTTAAATTCTATAAAGCCTTTCAAATTAACCCATTTTATTGCTATAAGTTCAGACTTTAAAAATCCAAGTTGCTTTTTACTGTACAAGTATGCTCTATGGGATTGCTCTTAGCATATATTATCATTTGGTGTGAGTAAATCAATATCCAGCAGGCCATAATTTGTAGTAATAAATCAGATTTTACTGTGCAAGTTCAGAGGTGAATTGTATAGGAAGTTCATGCAGATTTGAAAAGTGAAGAAAGATATAAAAGTATTAAAACATAGGGCTCCCTCTTATCACTTTATAAAAGGTCTGAAATTTGGAAAACTTGCAATAATTTCTCATTATTTCTGTAAATTGCTCATAATTGTATCCAAGAATAAAGAGGAAAAAAGTCAAGCCAGTACTTAGCTTGAAGTATTAACTACACATTGTTCTCCTGTGAGCACTCAACAGATCTCGTCTTGTTAAAATTATGGCAAATTGGAACAGCAGCTCCCTTCTGAATCAACCTTCATTTCTGTCTTTCCCTGCTGAAGATTGTTACATTTTAAAGTCACAAATTATTATTTATTTATTCCCCTAAAAAATGCATGCATGGTCCCAAAAGCCATCATATAACATCCCACAGTACCCACAAATGCAGTACTCATTATTACAAATTATTAGATTACTTAATCTTCTTTGCCAGTACCTTCTTTAAAAAAAAATAAATAAAATTTAAAAAACAAAAATCACAGTCCCCCTATACAAGCTTAAAATACAAGACAATAAAACTGATAGTAATAATAATGATATGTTTCCTTGGTCTTTTACGACACAGGAAACAAATGCCTGTTGACTTGTATTACAGGGATATATACACATTGAAAGATGATACATGGCTGAGTCAGTCAGTTCCTTACCCTGAGGATGCTCACCCTGGGTAAAAAATGTTCACTTGCTTTTTAGGATCTGGAAGGAGCTATAGGAATGAAAAGCCACATTGTTCCTGTTTTGAGTCTTTCCCTTTAAGATGAGAGAACCATCTCTCAGACCTTTGACTCCAAAGGCCTCTCTACCAACAGCAGGATTTGGTGGCATTTCTTTCCTTTGCTCAAATAACCGTGCCTTGTCTGGAAATTGAAACAGGGTAGCATCAGCCCACACGGTGATGCCAAATCCCACTTGGAATGCTCACCTTGTCCTGGCTTTGTAGCTTGCTTTATCCTGTTCCCCAAATCCAGCTTCTGCTCCAGAAATCTGTTCATTCACCTGACCTTTCCCATTTCCCTGACTCCTTTCTTTGTCAAGGATTGTTTTCCTTCCATTACAGTCAATGGGAGTAAGCAGCTGATTACAAAAGGAATTTCTGAGCAAGAAAAGGCAAAAGGAAAGGTATGCTCTGCATTCTGAATCACCCAAACCATGATATAAGTAACACAGTAAAATACAAAATCTCATTCTCCTGGAAAGCAATTATGATCAGAGGTGGTGTAAAAAGAATATGAGTTCTGCATGCCCTCAGAAATCCTTACATTGGTGATGAAATCAAATCTTCTAAGATCTCTTGAAGAGAAGTTACTTTATTTACTTAGGCTACCAGTCATCTGGAGCTGAGTCAGGTGAGCTCTGAAGACTTAATTTTTCAGCTCTTAACACTGTCTGGAAGTAACATATTCCTGGTAGGTATAGACAGTATACTCCAACCCTTTTTCTCAGTCTGGATGTCTGAAAATTCCTTGAATAAAAGGGAAGACTGTTTGAAATAGAAAGAAAGTACACATCTTCATGTGTCAGAAAACTCTGCTGTAATTTATGCGATGACATGGGAGCCTGTGTCAGTTAAAACCCAATTGATTCTTGGGCTGGATATCTTTAGGAAGAAAAAAGAGATATGAAAATAGAAAACTGTGCCTTCCTTCACTTGTCTGTGGAGTCAGGAGTTTTTCCCCATATTAACACCAAGTATAACTAGATTAGAGAGTCATAAAGTTTGTTGTGATTTGTTTTGGCTGTAGCTATAAGAATACAGACATGCACAGCCCTCATGAGCAGCAGTAACCATGATTTCATTATTTTATATTTTATATTATTTTAATAATAATAATATCTTTTATATTATTTCATGGTATTATTTATTACCACACTTGAGGGAGTCCAAGTGAAGACCAGTGTCTAATATGGCAACACAAAGCTTCAGATTCATACAGTATGGGAAATGCACATGGTGTCTCCAAGCCTTTGGACTTAAATTCTCTCAGACAATCCTGTGCAACAGTGACATCTGTGGCATCTTTGACAAACATTCTTAGAAAATGTCTCTAATTAGTCACCTCTTCTTATCTTTATTTTACTTTGAAATGGAGTAAACTTCAGGATTTCAGCACAATCTATTTTCTGTCACCATTGTGCTGCAAAAATACATGGAAAAAAAAGAGGTAAATCAATTTTGGAAGCCAGAAAT